TCACCCTACTTTCCAATTTCTGAGCATGGAGTGATTTGTAAGAAGATAAAACATGAACTCATATATACAATTTTGTTCGCAAAGATAAAAATTGTATGAGAAAGAGGCACTTTATTATCAGCTATTTGCATGAATTACAACTGACATTATAAAAAACTAGACTGCTAACAACTGTTGCTTTTCAAGCAGAAATCTTACCTGTACATTATGGACAGAGCCATATATAAGCTTTCACAAACCATTTCACATTATTTATTTAGCACCCTCTTCTACACCCCTCTCACATTCTTCACTAAGTGTAGGGTGTAACACGAAACAGCAGGGTGATTCCACGTCAATTCATGCAATGATGGTCCGGGTCATATTTTAGATATTTTTGTTAAAAATATATATGAAAGCCATGTTTTTGGGAGGAACATTCAGCTAGATATGAACGCCGTAACAATTTTTTTCGCTGAGATATAAAATAGAGAAGCTTGAGGCGTGGAAATTGAGAATATTTCACAATGCTACTTTGCACAGTCGTCATTTCCTTATCGAACCTTTCACGGCGCCATAACTTTTTAATAGGTTTTACAAAGGTTATACAACACATACATAAAAAATTAAAAATATCCATAAAATATTTCAATGCAAACAAAAATATCAAACATTGCACAAAAACGCGTTTTAGAGACATATTCACAATTTTTTTGCAAATAAACCATCTTTCATAATGCTTCACAAAACATATCAAAATGCGCGTATTTAAATATTCTTTACGAATATATAAAGATAATATGCCCTCCCTTAAACATATTTTTGTTATCAACGCGGAAATTCGGCTGATTTCTCAAAATGTGGCAAGATTGGGCGTCGATATTTAAAAAAACTCCATCTTTTATTTTCTTTAAACTCCCCTTGGCACTTTGCAGTGACTTGAACTAACCTGTGATGGCAAAAGATTGAGTAACATATGACCTCCAAGCGGGAAAAGCTACGACAAACCTTCACTCGGAGCGAGCCGACGTCTTCGTCGTAGCGGCTTTGCCGCACAGCACCAAACGTTTTGAGCGTTAGTTATGGCATGTATTTTATATTATTTAATTTCTTTTTTTCATAAGGGCTGAGTATTAGTGACGCGAAAATGGACTTTGAGCTGGAATACCATTAATTAGCTTACAATTCACAGGAACAAAACAGCCCCACTGTGCGAATTCGCTAACTATGCATAGATAAGCTTAAAACTCTCAGTTATGCGAGTGGCCATGTATACATCCGGCCCCTCGGCATATGATGACTTCCACAGATGAGAAGCCTGGATTCCTCTCACAGGTTTTATGGTGGTCCACTCTGCTTGCTTTACCGCACGAAACTCTCGAACCCGTTCCACAGACAGGTGGAACATGCAGACATTTGTTACTTTTTTACGTAGCACTTCCACAAAGTCTTTAGCGGTGGCACTCGTTGAGTTGAGCGAAGATCTCAACTTGGCGAGCGTTGGTTCTTCCACCTACTTCATCACAAGCGCTTTCTCCGTGTCCAGTGGCTGAAAAGATCCATCTTGCCGAAGAGTGCGGCTTCCGAGACAATTCGTGGAATTGGAAGCGATTCTTGAAATGCGCCGCCGCTCCGTCTGATACAAAAATTATTTAAAAAAAGACTGGGAAATGAACATTAACACACTCTTTTATGGCCTATGTGGCTAGAAGAGTGTGAGCTGTGTCATGTGTCGTGTACCATCGGTGACAACGGCAAAGCTTTGCGTGCCCTGCGTGGACGTAACCACACTTGTGGAGAGAGACACTTGAGTTTTTTTCAATGAAAACTCTGCCCTTCGGTTGGAAAGAGTACTGTCCATTTTTCCGAAAATCGAAGTGGAACATCACTGCCTTGGGTGGTAAGGCGGTTCTTGTGTCATGTATCAGGCTTCGTTCAAGGTCAAGGATGTAAGAATGCCTCATATACTTTTCGCTCTCCTATTGCCGCAGGAAGGCAAAATAGTCCATAACCTTTTTGACGAGTTCGCCAGCGTCCCATAACGCGAAACAGATCTCTTCGTCTTCGTCGAGATGAAGCGACTGCAGCGAGATGCTCTGCGTTTTTGGGCACTTTTCGCAACGGCGCAGAAAGCAATCGTTCTGTGGAGCGCAGAAGAGGTAGATGCGCTTGAGGTCGTCTTCAGTAAATGTCTTCTTTGGGGCATTTGTCATTGCCGTTAAAAGCAATTGAAAATTGACGCAATATATGCATGCGCACACCTCGTGCTCGGGACTTTTTTTTTTACCCATTTTGGTCGTAGAGAATAAAATTTGGAGATGCCTAGTTCGGGTTGGGGATGGTCCTTCCTAAACAGCTGGTAAGCTTCCTTAATAGAGCGGGTCATAAACCTTTTTACGACTTTGAGCATGTCGTTGATCATGGCTTTGACGACGTCCTTTTTGTCGGGGCTTTGAACAGAGCATGCGAGGTCGTCGCGTGTGTAGTACTCAATTGCAACCCCCACGTCTTCGGCATTCCACTTTTTCCCCATGTAGGGATCAGGGGTTGCCCAAACACCACCTTTGCGCTTCAGTTTTCATGTTTGATCAATCATGTAGGCAGTCGCACCCGACACCAGACGCAATATTGCTTTTCTTCAGGATGATTGGTGGCAGAAGCACGTACAATCGCTTGCGTTCCTGGTGGGAACTACATGCCTTCAGCACTTCGCAAAACGCGTCAAACCACTCTGCGCAGTGCTCACAACTGTCTTCGAGTTCGAGAGTTTCGTGCGGTGAAGCAAGCAAAGTGGACCACCGTAAAACCTGTCAAAGGAATCCAGGAAACTCATCTGTGAAAGTCATCATATGCCGAGAGGCCAGATGTATACATGACCATTCGCGCAACTGAGAGTTTTAAGCTTATGTATGATTGTCACGTTACGCGGTGAAAAAAAAAGAAGAAGAGGAAAGAAGAGGTGCCAGGCTAGGCGGTGGAAAGTGAAGAAAAAGAAAAGAAAAAAAAGGAGAAGCTCGAGAGAGTGGGGCTCGAGCAGAGGGACAGATTCGACGGTGCCCCGAGAACGCTGCCTACCTCGGCCGCGAACCGCAGAGGCAGATGAATTCGACGGTGACCTGAGAAAGCTGCAGTCCTCGGCCGTGAACCGCAGACGCAGGCCGGCCCCACCCAAACTCGGACCCGCAGCCCTCTACAGAGATCCAAACTATCAAGGCGACGAACCCTGATACCCAGGCGGGAAATTTCTCGGAGAAAAACCTGGGCCACCTCCAACAGAGCCCGGAATTACCTCGGCAGCGACCCCTGGTAAAAGCAACTGGCTCCGGCGAGAACCCATCATCAAGTTTCAACAGACACTGGTGACCCCAACGCGGGAGGTCATCAACCTGAACGGGGACGTGAGAGTTCAAGACATTTCTAACTGTACATGTGTAAATACTTAGGCAATAGGCATTTTTTCTATTTACGTATGTCGCTGTGTTATATAAATTGATTTATACCGTCCGACCGTGCACTCTCCTATCTTACTCGGACGGTTGACCTGAACCACGACAATATTGGCGAGCCTGCCAGGATACAACCCCTGAGTGAGAGATGATTGTTTCACGTGTCAGCAGTTACCAGCCTGAGATTGTCAGAATGGATTTAGAAAAAATATTGACGATGAGTAGTTCTTTGGGGCTGACAAAAGAAGAAACAATGACTCTCTTTGAGGAGGAGAAGAAACGCGTTAGAGAGGAAAGGTTGCTAGCTAGAGAAGATGCCAAACTTGAAGATGAACGAGAACAAGCCAGGGCAGAACGAGAGCAAGCGAGGGCAGAACGAGAACAAGCGAAGGCAGAACGAGAACGAGCTTGTTTCGAGCGTGAGCGAGAGATGTAGAACTAAAGATTCGGCTAGCACAAGCCGAAACTTCAAATGATCGGCCAACGGACAACGAAGGAGGGGAGGTACCACCGCGAAGAAGTGCATGTTTGAAAAAACTAATGCCGCCTTTCGACGAGAAACGAGACGACCTCGATGCGTACTTGCACAGGTTTGAAAGAATCGCAGTAGGCCAAAACTGGGCAAAGGAGGAGTGGGCGACATCTTTGAGCCTTTGTCTAGTGGGAGAAGCACTGACAACGTTTGGTCGTATGCCAGCATCAGATTCGTTAGATTACGAAAAAGTGAAGATTGCGCTACTTCAAATATTTAGGCTTACCGCTGATGGCTTCAGGGAGAAATTCAGGAAAAGTAAACCCGAAGAAGCTGAAACTGGGTTACAATTTTGCTCGAGACTAAGCAATTATTTTGATAGGTGGCTCGAAATGTCTGAAACAGCGAAGACCTTCGACGGTGTAAGAGATAGAATAATAGGCGAGCAGTTCCTAGCTTGCTGTAACTCTAAGCTAGCCATTTTTTTAAAAGAACGCAAGGTTGATTCTACACAAGAAATGGCGAGATTAGCGGACCAGTACTTAGAAGCACAAGGGAAAGGGAATCTGGGAAAAACAAAGGAGGATGCTAATACAGGAGAGGACCCCGACTTCTGTAAAGGAAAATCCATGATCAGCGCTCGAACAGGAGGGGCAGTAAGAACAGCTCCCAAATGCTTCTTATGCAATAAGTTAGGGCATAAAGCTAGTGAGTGCAGAAGCGGGTATCGAAAAGCACAGGCGGGAATTCGTTGTTGGGAATGTGGAAAAACTGGACACAAGGCTGAGGAATGCAGAAACGTGCCGAGAAACAAAGTGGCATGTTTTTTAAACCAAGGGGAGGCATCATCGACCGAGCCCAAAGAGGGAAACCAGTACCAAGAGAGGACAAAAAACAAAGTGAAGGCGAGCACTGACGACCTTGATGCAAAGTATGGTTTGCATTTAATGATGCCAGTGGTGGAAGGTCGATTTCATGGCAATAAAATAGACGTGCTCAGGGACAGTGGTACAAACACGGTATTAATAAGAAAAAGTCTGGTGCACGACAATGAGCTTACCGGGGAGTCCACGGGGGTAATTCTAGTTGACAAGACTGTGAGGATGATGCCTGAAGCCATCATATACATCGAGACGCCCTATTACACAGGACAAGTAAATGCAAAATGTGTTGAGGATCCACTCTACGATTTAATATTAGGTAACATCTCGGGTGTGAGAAAAGTAGACTGTCCCGACCCAGAGTGGTTAACAGAAACTAACGAGATGCATGGTCGTGAAGACCACGTTGTGGGCAAGACAGAGAGCCGTCGTGAAAATGATAGCAGGTTTCCAGCCGTGAACAACTGCTCTGTGCCAGAGCCAAAAGGTGGGGAACACCTAGTTACCGAAATGGAGAAGATACCCAGCAAACCTGCGCAGATTGATACTAACATCTCGTTTGCAGTACGATCTAAGATGACTAACGAAACGGCAGAGAAACCGTTACCCCGACTAAAAACGCCGGTCATAAGGTTGTTAGAGGTCACGGCACAAGAAATAACCAGAGACCAAAAAGAGGATGATAGTCTCCAGCGATGTTACGGGAACCTCGATAGGAAAACACGGAAATGGAGATCGGGCGTAACGACGCACTACACTATGAAAGGGGATATGTTGTTTCGGAGATGCGAGTTTGATTCGGGCGACGTGATAGATCAACTCATCGTGCCAACAATGTATCGGGAGAACGTATTAGAGTTGGCACATGATTCCCTTATGTCGGGTCATCAAGGTGTGAAGAGCACAATTGCTCGAGTATCAAACGACTTCTTTTGGCCCGGGATGCAAAGCGATGTCAAACGCTATGTAAGATCTTGTGACGTGTGCGAACGTACAATTCCGAAAGGAGCTGTCAAAAGGGCACCAATGATACCCATGCCCATAATTGAGACACCTTTCCACAGGGTAGCTATTGACATTATCGGACCGATAACACCAACGTCATGTAAGGGCAACAGGTATATCCTTACGATGGTCGACATGGCCACCAGATACCCTGATGCGGTGGCGCTAAGAACGATTGACACGCCACATATAGCAGAGGCACTTGTAGAGATGTTCTCCAGGTACGGAATACCCAAAGAGATCTTGAGCGACCGAGGATCTAATTTCACTTCGGACCTCATGAAGGAAGTCAGTCGTCTACTATCATTTAGGCAGTTGTTGACAACGCCATATCATCCCATGTGCAACGGACTGGTGGAGCGATTTAATGGAACAATCAAACAGATGCTCAAGAGAATGTGTCAGGAGCGGCCCACCGACTGGGATCGGTATATTCCAGCCCTGCTCTTTGCTTACAGAGGGGTACCCCAGGCCACGTTGGGATTCGCACCCTTTGAGATGTTATACGGGCGGAATGTAAGAGGCCCCTTGACTATACTGAAAGAGTTATGGTCAAATGAGACTTTGGACGAAGAGTTAAAAACATCGTATAAGTATGTGTTGGAACTGAAACACAAGCTAAAGAAGACGTGTGAAGTAGCACACGAGAGCGTTGGAGAAGCTCAAACAAAACAAAAAAAGTACTACGATCGCAAGAGCCAGACAAGAAGATTCGAACCAGGAGACTTAGTGCTCATTCTGCTGCCAAGCGATCGCAACAAGTTGACCATGCAATGGAAGGGCCCATATCAAGTTACCCGGCGGAAAGGAGAGGCGAACTACGAATTGCTCGTTGGTGGAAAAAGGAAAACGTTCCACGTGAACTTGTTGCAAAAATACGAAGATCGCGCATCCAAGAATAAAAGTTGCGCTGTGATAGTTGATACATACACGTCGGACGATCTAGGAGAAATCAGGACACCAAGTCTAAGCGAGCAACATGGAGCACAGAGCGTGCTTATTAACCCTAAACTAAGTCCACTACAAAAACAGAACCTGCGTGACGCGATAACACAATATCAAGACATATTCTCCGACCTACCTGGACGAACGGACGCGCTGCAATGTACGTTACGACTAACCACTGAAAAACCTGTGTGCGTCAGACAGTATCCTCTGCCGTTTGCAATTCAAGACCAAGTGGAAAAAGAAGTGCAGGAAATGCTAAAATTAGGCATCATTGAGCGATCAACTTCGGCATACAATTCCCCAATCGTAATGGTGAAGAAGCCCGATGGATCCAATAGGCTATGTGTCGATTTCCGAAGCCTAAATACGGTATTGATTAACGACGCCGAACCAATACCGAGGGCAGACATGGTATTCACCAAAGTGGGTCAGAAGAAGTATTTTTCAAAAATAGACTTAGCGAAAGGTTATTGGCAGATACCTCTGGAAGAATCGGCAAAAGAAAAGACTGCCTTTTCCACAACTTCCGGACTGTATCAATTCAAATTCATGCCTTTCGGGTTAAAGACGGCAGCTGCAGTGTTCACAAAGTTAATGAGACATGTGCTTGAAGGAGTCCCTAACGTATACCATTACATTGATGACATATTAGTAGCCACGGATTCATGGGAAGAGCACTGGCAAACGCTAAAGGGAATATTTGCACGCCTCAGAAGAAACCAGCTCACGGCAAAACCAAACAAGTGCGAGCTCGGTTTTGATTCCATAACATTCCTAGGCCATAAGCTAGGTATGGGACAAATTGCTCCAAAACCAGAGATACTGGAAAAGATACAGAAGGCACCGGTCCCAAAAACAAAGAAACAAGTAAGAGCCTTCCTAGGTCTCGCTGGATATTACAGGCAGTTCATACCAGGCTACTCGGAAATAGCGGCACCGCTGACCGAGCTCACAAAAAAGGGACGAAGTAACGTCGTCGCGTGGACGACAGAACACAATGCTAGTTTTGAAGAACTGAAGAAGAAGTTGGCAAAACCACCAGTTCTGTTGGCGCCGGATCTGTCAAAACAGTTCCTGTTGCGTACAGACGCATCTGACACGGCAGTAGGAGCAGTGCTCCTGCAGGAGCATGAAGGTATGCTCCATCCTGTGTCATATGCTAGTCGTAAGCTAAGTGCGAGCGAGAGAAACTTCGCAGCCATAGAACGGGAGTGCCTTGCGTTAGTGTGGGCAGTAGGTAAATACGCTGTGTATCTTTATGGGAAAGAGTTTGTGGTAGAAACTGATCACCAGCCCTTAGAATACCTGAACAAGGTGAAGTTAAACAACTCTAGGGTGATGAGATGGAGTCTGGCATTACAAGAGTTTGCATTCCACGTGAGATACATAAAAGGAAAAGATAATATCGGGGCGGATTATCTGAGCAGGGTATAGCTAGGCACATGTGAAGTTCATTTCGTCGACATATGTTGAGGGGTGCTCACCGAAATAAGGGGTAAACCAGGAGCAGGTAGACAGCAGCTACTGAAAATGGTTGAATTTTTTTTTTTCTGTGAAATAATAGGTTGAGGTTTTTGCTGCCTATGTGATTGTGGAGATCGTACTTTTGTTGCGCGGAAGGGAAGAAAAGTGGTGTTATTTTTTTGCGTGTATGCGAACTTGTGCACCGACAAAGTGAAAACAGGTAGAGAGCCGCGTAACCTGAAGGAATGAGAATTTAGATAAACTAAATACTGAAGAGGGGGGTTATTGTCACGTTACGCGGTGAAAAAAAAAGAAGAAGAGGAAAGAAGAGGTGCCAGGCTAGGCGGTGGAAAGTGAAGAAAAGAAAAGAAAAAAAAAGGAGAAGCTCGAGAGAGTGGGGCTCGAGCAAAGGGACAGATTCGACGGTGCCCCAAAAACGCTGCCTACCTCGGCCGCGAACCGCAGAGGCAGATGAATTCGACGGTGACCTGAGAAAGCTGCAGTCGTCGGCCGTGAACCGCAGACGCAGGCCGGCCCCACCCAAACTCGGGCCCGCAGCCCTCTACAGAGATCCAAACTATCAAGGCGACGAACCCTGATACCCAGGCGGGAAATTTCTCGGAGAAAAACCTGGGCCACCTCCAACAGAGCCCGGAATTACCTCGGCAGCGACCCCTGGTAAAAGCAACTGGCTCCGGCGAGAACCCATCATCAAGTTTCAACAGACACTGGTGACCCCAACGCGGGAGGTCATCAACCTGAACGGGGACGTGAGAGTTCAAGACATTTCTAACTGTACATGTGTAAATACTTAGGCAATAGGCATCTTTTCTATTTACGTATGTCGCTGTGTTATATAAATTGATTTATGCCGTCCGACCGTGCACTCTCCTATCTTACTCAGACGGTTGACCTGAACCACGACAATGATGCATAGGTAGCGAATTTGCAGAAAGGGGCCGTTTTATTCCTGTGAATTGTAAGCTAATTAATGGTATTCCAGCTCAAAGTTCCTTTTCACGTCACTAATACTCACCGCGTATAAAAAAAGAATTTTAATAATATAAAATACATGCCATAACTAACGCCCAAACGTTTGGTGCTGTGCGGCAAAGCCGCGATGACGAAGACGTCGGCTCGCTCCGAGTGAAGGTTTGTCGTAGCTTTTCCCGCTTGGAGGTCATATGTTACTCAATCTTTTGCCATCACAGGTTAGTTCAAGTCACTGCAAAGTGCCAAGGGGAGTTTAAAGAAAATAAAAGATGGAGTTTTTTAAATATCGATGCCCAATCTTGCCACATTTTGAGAAATCAGCCGAATTTCCAAGTTGATAACAAAAATATGTTTAAGGGTGGGCATATTATCTTTATATATTCGTAAAGAATATTTAAATACGCGCATTTTGATATGTTTTGTGAAGTATTATGAAAGATGGTTTATTTGCAAAAAAATTGTGAATATGTCTCTAAAACGCGTTTTTGTGCCATGTTTGACATTTTTGTTTGCATTGAAATATTTTATGGATATTTTTAATTTTTTATGTGCGTGTTGTATAACCTTTGTAAAACCTATTAAAAAAGTTATGGTGCCGTGAAAGGTTCGATAAGGAAATAACGACTGTGCAAAGTAGCATTGTGAAATCTTCTCAATTTCCACGCTTCAAGCTTCTCTATTTTATATCTCAGCGAAACAAATTGTTACGGCGTTCATATCTAGCTGAATGTTCCTCCCAAGAACATGGCTTTCATATATATTTTGAACAAAAATATCTAAATTATGACCCGGACCATCATTGCATGAACTGACGTGGAATCACCCAGCACCCTTTTCGGTAAAATTATGAGGTTGTATTCCAAGTTTTCAGGGTGTTAAAAGGGTGTAGCCGAGGGTTTAAGTCGCTACAACACCCCTTTTACACATTTAAAGGTGTAAAAACTTTTACTGTGTAGTACGGCCGAGCATCACAGGCGTCAATCACCACGATAGCGTCAATAGCGTCACGGCGTTGCCCACCACCCGCCAACAACCACGCTGTTAACAACAGAACCAGCGTTCTGCACATCTAGGTCGAGATGTTCATTTTCTTTTTCTTTTACCTGTGGTTCGATTTTGAACGTTTCCTTTCCGGTTTTAAACGAAGCTGTTATAGTTGGTTGCAGGCTAAGAAAAAACCGGAAATGCCTCTCAGAGGAAAATGTAATCCTACGCCGAGAAACGCCAGCCAATCGTTTTCATGACGTCACGATACCGTGTACCAATCGCGATCCTTTTGAAAAAAAAAAAAAAAAGAAGCTCAACATGGCTGCTGGCCTTAGCAACGCGACGCTAGTTTCTCGTGACAATTATTCTGCTTTTTTGCACCGTGTTTTACGTGCCCGAGGTTACGCCACGAAATCTTAATGGTATCGGCTTGCGTTTGCAGCAGTTTTTGCGCGACAACGTGAGAATCCAGCGACGCTATCGCCAACAAAAATTTCGAAGCAGGCGCGAGGCTTAGCACTGCTGAGAGGTATGTTAGACGGTATGTCAGACAGTATCTTGGACAGAAAATGAATTGGGAAGACGGTACATTGGACATGACTTTCTTTCTTTACTAAACAGCTATTTCGTTGACAAAAACGTATTCTAACTTATTTAAATGTCCTGAATGAATTAAATAAATATTGTAGTAGTTTAAGTCACGTTTCCTGGAGGAAGAAAAAGCAACGTTGCTAGCGAACTACTTTCTCGACGGCGGTGGCACTTCACATGGGCGCAATGCGCTTGTGGGTGGAGCTAAAAGATTGTTCTTAGGTTGCATCCGACTATAGCTTTCGTTGGCTCAGGAAATCAATATCCTAGCACCTATATAAAACATTACTGAGACTAGCTTAAGTTTAATCAATATATGAGAGACGTCTTGTTTAGGCTCTTCCAAAACACAAAGCCTGAAATATCCAATCTTATCCGATTCAAGCACAAGATGATCGGGAAGCGTGGCTAGCGTGGCGGTTTACTAAGCTGAGTGCATTGATACACCTATAGGTTTTTAAGGTAGAGAAGGGGGCTTATGGTCGGTGTACAAGTAAACACTGGCTGGGTAACGGAGGGCGCGTCATCCAGGAAAGGGGAGCATGTGCGCCCGATGCACCCGACTACAACTTCTTTTTCTTCGAGTGCAGTTGGGACGAAAAATCGCGGATGTGGTATTCGCGCTAAGAGTGCCGCGCAGCGACAGAGCGGTATTGTTAGCGCGAAGATGGCGTGGCCGCTGTTTTCGTATTTTTTTTTTTCATAGAACAACGACGGGCACAATATTTTCCCACTTCTTGTAATGTTCCAAATGAACATATCACACGACAGTGCTAGTTAAGACAATAGCCTTTCAAGTCTAACGAAAAAAAAACTGAATAAAACGGTGATCGTTTGCTTGCGCTAACAGTGTTCGCGCGATGCACGCACTAATATCCTGCCAACCACTCGCTCATGATGCTTCTCTCGCTGCCCGTCGTTATGCCGAAATTTCGTCAACGCGATGAAAGTTTAGATTATGGGTGTCCCTGCGGCGAAACTGAAAATCAGCACTTTTCGCCGAACACTTGCTGGCCGTGTTTATGTCCCCGGCGGTCAAGTTGAAAATCAGCACTTCTGGCCGAACACTTGCCGGCCATGTTTATGTCCACGGCGGCCAAGCTGAAAATCAGCACTTCTGGCCAAACACTCGCCGGCCGTGTTTATGCTTTCGGCGGCCAAGCTGAAAATCAGCACTGCTGGCCAAACACTTGCCGGCCGTGTTTATATCTCCGGCGGCCAAGCTGAAAATCAGCACTGCTGGCCAAACACTTGCCGGCCGTGTTTATATCTCCGGCGGCCAAGCTGAAAATCAGCACTTCTGGCCAAACACTTGCCGGCCGTGTTTATGTCCCCGGCGGCCGCGCTGAAAATCATCACTGCGGGCCAAACACTTGCCGGCCCTGTTTATGTCTCCGGCGGCCAAGCTGAAAATCCGCACTTCTGGTCAGGCGCTTGCCAGCAGTGTTTATGTCTCCGGCGGACAACCTAAAAACAACTAGTCTGTGGCCGGACTCTTGCCAGCCTTGTTTATGTTTCCGGTGGCCAAGCACTTAAAGTGGCCAAGCTGTCCAGACACTGGCCAACCGTCGGCCGATCGAAATTCCCTTTGTGGTGCTGCTTGGGCTTCCAGTAGTAGCAAGTTCAGATTAATATATAGCCCAAAAGAAGCAGAAAGTGGCGGTTGTGCCTTGCATGCACAAAACCGCACACAATCTCGAAGACATAGCAATCCGTGTAAATGCTCAGGTGCTTTTTTGTGCACCGGAAACACTTGCCAAGTTGTGCAAACTCACGGACCCTTACCGCAAACCACCGGTTGGCTGCGGAAAAAGGCATTACAGCCGTTTGTTGAATGTGCAGAAGGAGTTCTCTATCAGATCCCGCTGATATGCGGCAAAAAGTACGTGGGACAGGCGGGAAGATGTCTAAATGATAAATTGCGCGAACACAACCAAAAAATGAGCGGACAGCATGACGGTCATTTGTCAATGCACTGCCATGACTGTGGGTGCAAACCTGAATTTAATTTGTGCACTGTTATTAGAAAACATAGAGATAAAACGGCAAGTGAAATCATAGAGGCAAACCTGATAAAAATCTACGGGGATCAATGTGTCAGCATGACGTCGATCGATTTTGGCGAAAAAGAGGCAAAGTTCTTCCGAGCATTGGCGTGCCACGGGGTTGGTTGAATGGCGCGATGATTCAGAGTATTTATACCCTTGCTTTTCTGACAATTAAACAGTTGAACTAAGCGCGCTGTGTTGTTTCGTTCCTTCTCTCGTCCCTGTCTTGAAGCACTATTACGTTCTCAAAGTTTCAGCACCAACTCGTCCAAGAATCCGCATTGCTCAACTATATAAATTATTTTGTGAAAATATATAAAACTAAGGTGGTACCAGTCGATAGCACATCTTTAGGCCTAGAGGTATACAGTATTTAATACGCAAAATGTATGATGAATCCTAAGACACAACCCTCCAAACATGCAACCAAATGTCAAATATTTAATTTTTGGTATTATTTATTTCTGGCACAAAATATGACAAAGCAGTTTAATTTAAAGGAAGAAAACGGTGATGCGTCATACATTAAAAAACAATTACAGTGATTATTTTTCTTACCGATTTATAAGAACCGACATAACACGGCGCAGCAATCGTGCAGCTTAAACAGAGCTTTCACCTTGCTCCTTTTCAAGGTAGAATATAAATTAAAATCAAGAAGTTGTTTTGTCTAGTGAAGAATTGGGCCTAAATATACATTTTATTTGGCAAACAAACATACACACCCCGACACCCGTGCTAGATTTCAAACCAAACCACTGTTTAATTATTTTATATCGTGTGGTGGCATAACAATTCCAAAATTATTTTAGCCGCTAAAAACTGTCTAAGCTATTTTTTACATACCATTAACTATAATCCAAATATCACATCGATTAAGCGAACAGTCTCATTTTTGAAATTATACTGCTTGCTGACGCTTTACGGAGAATAAGATAATTGAGTATTCCATACAACTAGGACTGAGGGGGAAAGAGATGAAGGAAAAAAGAAAGCAGGAGAGATGTCCGCGGTCCAGGTTGAACAATTTAGTGCGAGAGATGATAAAAACTTAATAAATTATTTATACTTAATTTGATTTCTCAATTTCACAGACGCTAACATAATACGCCTATATCTGACCTAACCAAAGACGTGACAAGCTTTGCAGATTCTTTAAAAAAATATTTACAGTGTTCGACACACCTTGTCATGACCAATTATTGAGTGATAGTGGCTCAAATCCTATAAGCAGTTGGTTTATAAAATGTTCCGGTGGTTTCTGTACTGGTTTATTTCACTAATGTAAGAAAAATTTACTTTCGTTCAGCCACTTCTTAACTGTTTCCGCATTACAGACGGCTCCTACCTCTTACTATGTTTTATCCACATTGATCCGTTCACCTTTGATGATGACAGGATCTGATTAACGAATTACTGTATTTATTTTTTGTCTAGCTAAGCGATATCCATCGAATTCTTGCGAAAGGCGTGTCTGGAATATACTGTTCTAGGTATATAAGCCGTTTGAGAACCCTCTGCAGCACCCAACTCACGCCTAAGCAACAGGAAAAACACCAATAATCTTCTCAGAGGTATGAGAACGTTATCTTTTAAGAAAATTGATATATTTTGTCTGAAATATAGCAGCTGTGGAGCATTATAAGAGACCTCGGAATAACATATTTCTACTCTATTTCAGGTGTTTGTGTGCTGCCTCTTTGCCTACGTTGCTTGCGGAGTTGTTGTGGAACAGGTGAGAATGAACCTTTTGCAGAAGTCTTGGTTCTAAAGTAAACAGATCGGGATCCCTCTCTGATTTCCGTCTGGCTGAGCGGAGAGGGAAGATGATTTCTTTGTGTCAACCTCGGGGCCGAAGATAACTTTCGATGGAGACAAAAACGAACTTTGATGCAGCCGTATCTACGTCCCAACGTCTAAATTGGCAAACAGGATGTCCCGGATATTTTGGGTGTCGAAGGGGTGAGAAGCCTTGCGAGGGCGTTGTTTTCGAGCCACATAATAGGCATCTTTGAAATAGCGCACGCTAAAGCTTTGTGTAGGCACAAAATGGCGTCGTCGCCGCTGCGAATGCGCCGAACGCTAACCACGTTTGCTCTGTGCGTGTGCTATTTTAGCGGACGCTATTTTTCGGAAATTGCGTGCGTACGCAGAGCCTTTGCGCTCTTCCAAGGAGGATTCGAGATACGCGAGAAGTTGGATAAAGCCAAGGAGACAACAGTTAGAAAAAGGGCGGCTTCCAGGAACGCGGCTTCAGTATGCATAGGCTGCCGCCGCTTGGGCGGTCGTCGTGAGCGCAACGTCTGAGGCATCCTCTCGACTCCGATTTTCAAGACAAGACGACATTGCACTCCTACGGAAGGCGCACTTCATAAACGGTTTGAGAGACACAGCAGGGTTGGCAACGATCGCCGGCAACTTGAGGCTTGCGACCCGCTAACACTTTCGGTGAAAGTAATGTGTGCGAAGGTTAGTACACGAGACCTCTTTTCCTGAGACGACGCAAGCAGGCACGACCCGTCGACCGCTCGCGTTTCAATCTCACATTCAAACAAATCTGAAATATTATTCTGGACCAAAAAAAAACACTTGTTTTTTTTCGGGCTCGAGTATTTCGCGCGTGAAATTAAAATTGTTACTGTATCCTTGTGACGTTGCAAGCGTGAGATGCTTGGGCTTTTGCGTCGGCGCGGAAAAGTCCTATTATAAAACTCCCTTGCCTATAGCGTGCGCTAACGCAAGCAAGAAATTAAGCTCTACCGTCCGATAAAATTGCGTACGTTATTCTAAAACTCCCCAATCTGGAACCCAGTCACGTGTCTTGGAGGCACCATATATATGGAAAATGTTGTATTGCGATAGTGACTCCGTAATGCATGTTTGAAAATAAATTGCCTAAAATCCACCAGCGAAGCAACACAAAAGATAAATGACAAAGTTTGTGTTTCATATATTTTGTTTGTGAATATAATAATTACAATTTGGTATGCGCATTCCAATTGGTTTATTCTAAATTTATAACTGAACCTTGTTTTGACATAACACGCCAAAGGGTGAACATTTAGGTTCTATGGTGAGTCAATTATAGCGATGGAGCAAAGCAATGACAGCCCTTCTACGTTCAGTGCACGCCGACCGTGCGTTGTCGCATGACTGGCTCGGACGTTGTGATAAGTTCACTAGGGTTGCAGCCTTTACCGCTTACCAATATATAATAAAATGGGTATAGATAACAGTCTGGCTTATAAATGTTTGCGCGAAAACGTTTCGTTCATGGCAGTTTTATAACGAAATATTAAGTAAAACACCATGGGTTATTCAATATATAACCTTTAATTATACCGTAACTCACGATTTCTTGTCCTGGAGGACAAAAACATGTCGAGTATGTCAAGGTGAACTATAAAAGTAATATATATCTTGTGAATGTGTATTCTGTTTCAAATCATATCTATACAAATTTGTTGTACTTTAGGGAAGGGATAGCCTGTAATATTATCTTATTTTTTTTCTTAATACGAAGTTATTTTGTGAGAAACGTAGTTACACTACTGTAATTGAACGACTAATCATCTATCTTGTTTGTAGGCATTACACTCACAAAACGTCAAGACCGAAGACAGACAATGCCCCCCCCCAAAAAAAAAAAAAAAACAAAAAAAACAGTTGCATTAATTTTTGAACATTCATTCTTGATACTTCTAAAGCTAATGTCAACTGCGCGGTATTTCCTCATTTATAACATGATCAACAATGTATAACCTCTTGCACCGCTTAGCTCTAAAAAAAGAAAACTAATAATAATAATACCTTTATTTTTTCCAACAAAAACAATGTTGAAAAGGTGACTTGGGAAAAAAGCTGTAAAAACAGCTTGAGGAGCCCCAAACCACCTACACCAGCAGTCGCGATGCAGGCACTAAAGATTTATACAAAATTGAAACATGACATGTGTACTACATGTTTGAACAACTTAACAAAGAAAGAACTGACGCTAAACAGGATAAGTAGCATATTGATACAGTTTACACAATAGTGAATACACACACAGAACGTTAAACACCACTGAAATAAACGCGAAAGAAACTATCGATTCAAAAGATTTTAACGCTTATCACGGACAATTTGGCTCGAAATAAACATTTGAAATAAACATTTCTCGTAAGATGCTCACCGATATATTGCTAAGCTCAATGCCTTGCCTACTAAGCTGGTTAAGGGTAGAGGACAAAGTATATTTTAAACTTTGGTGGCCGTAGTTTGTTCTAAAAAAGGGTACTTCCCAAGGTTCTTTAATTCGTGTTGGGTACCTATAAATTTTATCTGTTAGCTTCGCTAAGTTTTTAAGGTGACATTGGGATAAATTTGTTTCTATTTTATATCTTGCACATAAACGATATTTATATAAATCAAAAATTTTCATCACACCAATCTTACAAAAAAGATCATCGGTTGGATGTTCTAGTGGCGCATTAGAGATACTTCTTAATTTCTTTTTTTGTAGCATAAAGATTTTGTGGAGGTTGGTATAGGTAGTAGTGCCCCATATGAGTTGACCATAATTTACATGTGAATAAAATAATGAATTATATAATATTAACTTTGTTCTAAGTGGTAGGATGTGTTTATGGCGGTATAGAATACCGACGATGCTAGATAACTTTGATACGATATGATTAATATGGTCGTCCCATAACAAGTTTTCTTGAAAAATAACGCCCAAAGTTTTAAACGCGGGAACAATTTCTATTTGAGAAGAATTTATAAAAATATCCTTGGTAACATTAATATGTTTATTCTTAGGTCGGAATATAACTGCCTTTGTCTTACCGGCGTTTATTTTTAATGCATTATGTCTACTCCATCTATTAAGCTTTTCTAGTGTTTCGTTCGCGTTATCAATGAGCTCCGACACATCATTACCATCAAACAATAGGCTTGCATCATCTGCATAAATAAAAAATTGAGTTGAGTGACTAATATTTACGATATCATTTATATATACATTGAATAAGAATGGGCCGAGAATGCTTCCCTGCGGAACCCCCGATTCAATCGGTTTTATTTCAGATGAGTGCCCGTTTATATGAACATACTGTCTGCGGGAAGATAAATATGAACGTAGAAGTTTTGATACATGAGCACGGAATCCATAAATATCTAATTTCTTTAGTAGCAAACTACGATCTAGATAGTCGAACGCTTTAGTGAAATCTACAAATAAGCCGAGAGTGAGTTTCTTTTGTTCAAAATTTCCAAGTATATGTTCTTTTTGCGCAAGGAGAGCAAGTTCTGTTGATCGATGCTTTCGAAAACAAAACTGCGACGAGCTAATCAAGTCATGATTATCAGCAAATGTTGTCATTCGAAGCAGTATAACCTTTTCCAAACCCTTAGAGAAAACAGGAAGGATTGAAACAGGTCGATAATTGCCCAGTTCGTTTTTATTTCCTTTTTTATATAACACTGTTACCTTCGCTAGTTGCATTTGACAAGGAAACACACCGTTTATGAAACAGAGATTGAATATGTGTGCTAAGGGAAGAGAAATAAGATCAATTACGTATTTAACTGGTTTTATCTGCAATCCATCGGAGTCGCAACTTTGGCTATTTTTTAGTACATTAAAGACAGATATTACCTCTGAAGCCGTAACAGGCATAAGAAACATAGATTCATTATTTCGAGCATTAATATATTTGCAAGCATCTGACTCTGGACGTTCTTTAACTAGATTTACATAATAGTCATTAAACGCATTTGACAATGCTTGTCCTGACAGCTCTTGATCATTGTGGCTGATCTTTAAAACTTGCTTCGTGGCGCACGAACGACCCAACACAGAGTTTAGTTTTTCCACATAACGTCGACTCTGTTATTACAAGAAAGAAAAAAGTCTGGAAGAACTTAAGAGATAGAAAGTTACTTAAACATATATGTTCATATCTTAGGCTTTTTCTTTATCTGTCATGATTCTGACAGTTTCACGCAACATATTTATTGGTACTAGGGTAGAAAGAAGAAAGGGTCCTAAAACAAATTTCGTTTTTTTTTCTCGCCTAGCACGCTCCCCGGCCCTACCTCTTTGGCTACGACAACACCGATGAGTTCGGTGCCCGCATGACCCGATAGGAGACTGGCGATGCGTTCAACAACAAGGTCGGATCTTACAGCTACGTCGATGCTCTCGGCATCACACGTACTGTGAAGTACGTCGCCGACGACGCCGGCTTCCGCGCCACCGTTGAGACGAGCGAGCCAGGCACCAAGACCTCGGCACCAGCCGACGCTCCATTCTTCTCCACCTCCGTCGAGGGCCCACACCCAGTCGTCAACGCTCTTCATTCAACTCCAGAGGTTGTCAGTGGCGTTCACGCTGCTTCAGTGGCTGTTCGTGCCATCCACGCCGCCGCAGTGGTGCAGACTCCAATATCGTACGCCATTGCCAAGTCCTTGTAACATGATAATAAATAAGTTATTGCTGTAATTGAGTTATAAGAAAATCGATTTTTAGGCATTCGCATTGAAGCTGTCTGGAAAGTTTAGGAACCTTCCAAACAGGTTTACGAACCGTTAAAAGCAAATCAACCAGAAATGCATAAAATATATGGAAAGGAACTCCTCCCCTCCCCCTTCCGATGGCACGAAAGGCAACCCAGAAAATTTCACGCCTACTGTACTCTTGCTTTAACAAAGGTGATGGGTCTGCTCGAATTCTCTCCGTGGAAGTATAGA